ACTCTTGCAATATTCTAAACAATGTTTCTAACCTCTAAATGCTCTAAAAGAGCACAGAATGTCATGATTTCAGCTCCCTGCCTCCTCTACTCTTTGTCATGTGCAAGCGCTCTTGGCCACGCCTACTTCTTGGCTCTGCACAGAGAACAGCTGATCAGCTGCAGCAGGAAGCTTATCTTGCAGTGTGGGTTGCACAAAGGTGCAGGAGGTGCTAAATAATTTTAAATGATTTATTTTAAATAAAAATTCCATGCCGATCGTGCGGCTCATCCATCAATCAGCCAATTGCGTGTCGTGTCCAAGCTTATTTTGAAAAACCGCGATAAAGCGAGTCCGCGATAAACAAACTGCGAAGTAGTGAGGGACTACTGTACACCTTGTTTCCTGTTTCTTGTGTATTTTTGTAGTAGCGTTACAGTGCCACATACAAGCCTGATGTAGGTGCGAGAGTTTTTTCAATGTTTTCTGCGTGTCTGTTTGGGTTAAAACAGATCTACAGATTGTTTTGTAATAATGGACAAAAATATTGTTTAGGAAAAATAGCATTTCTGTGTTGATAAGTGTTACTTTTTCTCTAGAGTTGAAACTTGACTAAATTTCTTCTTTCATTCCACAGCGTCCTATCTGTCTGCTGTACGCTTAATTGTACATTGGGCTCTACTGACTTCCCTTGTGTCCTTTTTGGTCTTCTATACTTTTCTTCCTGATTGGACATTTTTTCCCTGAACTGTTCTGCGGAAAAAATCAGCCTCCATGAATTTGAAACTGGCAGTGGATGCCATTTGTGTCAAACTCAAATGTAAAATCAGACAAACGTGTTTATGATTATAAATGTGCACACGTGTTTTTTTATGCACACACACACACATATATATCCCAGAGCATGAAAAAATGGATGACAGAGTTTATCTTGCTCCAGACTGAACACAAATTACCAGATGCTTCACAACACTTTGTTCCTACTCAGCCAAATGTGCTGAAAGGTTTTCATGTTGACCGACTCCTACACGAACCATCCATGATGTAAATACGCATCACCCCTGCGTGGGACTCTGGACCCAGAAGCATTGTGACATTCTGGGTTAATCTCAGCATGAGCTCTGGACCCCACAGTGCTTTAGAATATGATATTTGCTTCCATTTTACTTCCACTGTTTGATGTTTCCTTTGAGTTGTGGTTGGTGCACTACTCTCCCTTCATCCCCTGCCTCTCTATCCTCAACCAGTCAGGCAGAACATGCTTTTCCTCAATCACTTCAGTCGGTCCGCGGTCATGCCGTATAGTGCACAGCCTCTGCACGTTGGTTCTTGTAATGACTGAAATTTTTTTTAGCTTATTCATGCAAAGAAAAATTATTAATTTACCAAAAAGTGTTTACAGATTGTTGTATGGTTGTTGATGGTGTTTAATCCACATAAATGTAACCGTGTAATCAGTGGTGGGCATGGTTCCGCTAATCTGCTAATCCACTAATCCACTAATAGAGAAACTAACTTTCCGTTTAGCAGATTAGCATTTTTGCTAACTTTGAAAACCTTTAGGAGAATTAACTTCCGCAAAATTGAAATTCAGTAAATGCAAGTCTGCTACTTTTTTAAAGACAGTTCTCTGCACCTAAAGTATACAAAAGAATAGAGTTTTACACAGGACAGAGTAATGCTTTGCTATGCAGAGAGCTAAGCCAAGCAAAGCTAAGCACCACCTAGTGATATCATCACCTTTGCAGTGCTTTCATTTATATCTACTACAAACAGTCTCTGACACATGGTGTCAGTTTACAGCCAATAATAGAGACTTTAATATAAATGCAACACCAAACCAGAACAGGAAAATATCATGAAAAACCAATTTTCACACTCAGAAACATTGCACACATAATTCCTACTCAACATGCTTTTCAATGCTCACACTGCCTCTAGGATGTGACTCTCTCACGCATTTCACACATGTTTACTTTAATACAATTTGTTACCAAGAAAATATTGATGATGACACACGGTAACTTTGTAGTTAGTTTATAAAAGCAGTTAACCACAAAGAGGATCACCATGAGTTGACTTGTTATAGTGAATGACATGAGGGAGCCGTCCAACACAAATTGAATGCACCACTTTGCTTCAGTTCAGCAATTCTGCTTCACCTCGTTCTGATGGACCAGATTAATTTCTGAATGCTCACTTCTGAATGGGACATGAACACTTCACTTGTGATTTCTGAACCATTTTGAGTTGTGCAATAATGGTCAATCAGGTCATCTGAACAGTTTATTTTTGTGTAAAGACGTTTCACCCTCTATCCAGAAGGCTTCTTCAGTCTGAGGAGTCCCAAGTAAACTGTTTTCCCCACTAAGCAGTACACTCCTTTAGTGGACCAACCAGTTTGCTGGTGATAAAATGGTTTCTGGGAGCTGACCTGTCCCCCATCAACTCCTCCCATGCAGGCAGCCACAGCCAAAGTGGTTCAAGACATCAAAGTTCATGCTCAATCATCCAGGTACAAAATCTAATAATGGTCAATCAGGTCATCTGGACAGTTTCTTTTTTGATAT